TATGGATGCGCGACATAGTCGCCTCTGGCTTTAGCAAGGAATGTCGGGAATTTCTCTCTCAAATTACTTCAAGGAAAAACTCTCCACGATTTTGTAGAATGGGCTATCTATAAAGATTTTCACATTCTACAATTCTCCACACTTTTGAGAAATGGACTAGCTACAAAACTTTTTCCATTCCATAAAATCCAAAAATGTTCCAACCTCTCCAAGAAAGGTTGGAACCACCAAAGCCAGGGGTAAAACGAATTTCAACCAATTTGGGTTTGTGCTAATGCTTTTGCAAGGATATCACTTGGGTTTGTAGGCGAGTTTGTCCAACAAAAGCTTCCCTATCCTAGTGGCTTTTTCTAGGAAAACAATAGCATAGCCCTAGCATTCTCTACGCAAACCTATGGCTAGCTAGGAAAAAAAGAACAACGGTTTATAAGGGTTTAACATACGTGATGAGTGATCGAAGTATCACTTTGTCCTGGATCAAGCTATCCTCGCCATAGGAGAGATGATGAAGCCCCACACTCCACGCTTCTTCTCAAAAGTAGGTAAGAAGCTCTCCTAGCCAGAGAGAATGACGAAGTCGCCATAGTTGGCCTTCCCCAAGGTAGGATGAAGCTTTCATTCAATAAGGAGAGAATGTCTTGCCTTCAAGACTTCGCTTACACTATCTTTCTCAAGAAAAATAAGTGAAAAAAAGAAGAAAGTGAAGTGGATTTTAAGAAGAAAAGAAGAAATTAAGGAGAAGATGAAGAAAATGGTGATGTTTGGAATAAAAAACTCTTCAAAATAGCTTTCTCCTTACCTCCTTGCTCCCTTCTTACTTCCTTATTGATAAGTCCCAGCAAACTAGCTCCTTGCTCTTTTTTTTTCCCTAACACTAATGTCTTAGTAACATATCATTCCATTTTTTTTACCTTCCCAAGGCATATCCCAGCAATTGACATGAAAATCCCTACAAAATCGGCTCCTCGGGAGCTTAAACAGCAAAAAGGTGTGTTATTTGGCTTCCCAAGTGCCTATGCTCCAAAGGCTGGGCTCATATGCACTTAGCTTATTGTCTCGTGCAATTTGGTTGGTGCTTAGGGGCCATAGGGGGCGTATATGAGCCGCTATACATCTTGAGGAGCAGGTGTGATGGACCGGCACCTATGCACCAAGTAGGTGGCACATAAGCTCCATCATTTCTATTTGGTGCAATAGAGGAGTGGCATTTTTAGGTGTTGGTGTGTATGCACCAACCAGGGGACACATAGGTTGCCTCTTTAGGGTTGGGCGCAACTCCTGGATGCTTAAGGGTGGAACATAGGCGCAACCCTATATAAGAGAAAATTCCATTTTTGGGTTTTGGGGTCTCGCTCCCTTTCTTCGTCTAAATTTTGTGTAGATTGCTCCTATTGACCCCAGGATCATAAGAATGCATCAAGGGATGATTTTTTGTCCTCCCTACGTTGAAGTAAACCTCAAGGGTGCACTGTATATGGAAACGATGTCGTCTGGAGGCCGGGTACGACTATAGCCGTCTAAATCTAATTTTCACCCGGACATCCCTAAAGATGTTTTCTTCGATCCGGAAGCTAAAGAAAGTTGTATATCACTAAAATACAAATATTAACTTAAAAATGAACATTTATAGGGTTTTAAATCTGGAATTTTGGTGCCAACAAGTGTCACAAACCTCCGCGGGGAAAAAATTGATCCGAACTCAAATTTTCCTAAAATGCATGTGGGGGATCTTGGTGACTACTTTAAGCCTCAGAGGACTCCATATTGATGGAGTTGGGTCCCTCAGCATCAAAATAAAAGTAAAAAAAATCCAGATTCAGGGCTGACACCACCTCATGGTGAATTCTCCCGAGTAGGGTCACGTCACTACCGGTCCAAATTCCGTGCTTGAGGCCCGTACCAGGAGGTCCAATTAGGTGCCTTGGATGGAAAAAAGCTAATTAAAATCCCATGTTGCTTAAAATAGATACCTTTTATATGTGAAATAAAAAATTGATGCCAACAGCTACTCTTTCCAATGCTTGGCGGTCAGCTTCTCCTTCGTCTCCTTGGCCTTGACCACCTTGTCAATATCCGAGAAGCGCCAATGTTCCTTCGACATCTTGCCCTGCAGCACACAAGTTAGTGTTGTCTCGATAGTATACTACAGAACTGAAAGATAATGACCGGGCGACCTCCATATCCAATAGAAGAGACCTCGGTCTATCCACCGCTCGCTCTAAGGGTGTGAGCCAAATTCCCCAGTCATCAGAGTAAGACCTGACCAAAAACTTATTCTTCCAATCATTTATTTTACTTTCCAACCTCCGCAGGTACAGTTCTTTGCCCGTCGAAAATATGGTGAAGCCTTCCTTATCAACCTTGAATGAGCAATAGAGCTTGAACAGATGAATCAACCATGAAATGCTCTCCCGACGACAGAAAAGAACGATAGTCATTATTGTCTCTACAGAGTTTGTCAAAACTTATGTCAAGATGACTACGTACGTATTAAAAAAGCTCCAGAGCTCATCAAACAGAGGCAACTTGAGGCCGTACATAAACTGGTCCCAATAAAGAAAACAGGTCCTTACTGAAGCCATTTGTCGCTCGTGCCGACCCTAACATCCTTCGAAAAGAAATGCTATCTTGAATGATGTACTTCCTCTGCAGCTCCTCCACATCGTCATTCGTAAAAAAAAAAGAGTTGGTGCCCCTGAAGGAACCAAAAAGTACTTATGAGCCATCTCAGGGAGTAAAGGGCGTCCAGAAGAACAAAGGAGAACAATAACAAAAGGTGCAAAGAAAGAAACTAGAACGCATGAAGTGAGGTCTCTTATCCTATTTATAGGGTAGAAGCGTCACATAATGATAAGCGTCACAACAAATATCCTTTCAAATTTATTTAAATACTATGTTATTAAGGATAACATTATGACATGTCTCGAATAAAGTGTTTTATAAATGGGTCCTCCTGAGCTTCGATCGAGGCATACCCTTTTCAAATTAATCGCCCGATGACCAACTCTCCGCCCAACCTCATGTGATCCACCCGATCAGTGGCACGCTAGAGCTTAAATAGGGCGGAAGATTCACAAAGTGCCTTAGCACACACCATGTCCGCTAGCTCGCCATGTAGAGCTGCGACCTCTGTTTGCAGAGCCGCCACCTCTGAATCTTAAGTCGTTAGCCAAGCTGACAACTCCCGCACAAGATCTATGATCAAACCTTCAGTCGCTCCCTTCGAAGAACTGACCAATATGGCTAAGGGTCTAATCCTACCTGTTAGCTACTCTATGGATCTGAAAGAAAGCGCTCGCCACTCTGTTTGCTTCTATTGAAAGATGGCAATGGGCAAAGAGTCGAGCGACTAGTGGCCACCCTCCCCCTCCTCGGGAAACCCTCGAGTACTCGACCTACAAACTAGCCACTGCAGTGGGGGCAGACTCCACAACATCCTTCGAAGGCCCAATTAATTCATCTACATTGAGATAATGTATAAGAAAAAACTCTTAAAAATTGTAAAACAACCAAAGTAAGCTTTACGTACCCATGAATATATTTATTGAAGAGAAGGTCGTTAAAAGTCTCTCTCTCTCTCTCTCTCTCTCTCTCTCTCTCTCTCTCTCTCTCTCTCTCGTGAAGAAGTACATCCACCTTTGGGGAATTGTGGCTAAGAAAAGGTGGCGAACACCACTCCCTTCAAATTCTTCGCACTCCCCTCAGTACCTTCAGAGAGCAACGTGTCCACATTATGCCCGAAAGCCAGGGTTTCCTTGCAAAGCTTTTCGGCGACCGCTCATCAGTGCATCAGACAAATCTACTATGTTTATCGAAGTTGGTTTGGCCATCGATCGTTTTTCTTTCTTCGCTATTTTCTTTCTCTTTACAGAAGATGGGGCCCGATAACCTGCTTTGGCCAGAATTTTGGGATCCACCTCAATCCGGTTTGCACTATCAGCCATGATGTATCTCGACGGTCTTAAGAAAAACTAGCGGCAAGGGATACAACTTCAAGTCTTTGATTCTATTTATAGAGCACACTAGGCATAGAACCCAAAGAGAAGTAAATTGTTTAATCAATCCTTAATTTTAATGCCACTGATTGTTTAATAGTTTCTATGTCCTTATCATGACTGGCACTATCAAGGGGCAAGAAAACTCGAGAAACTAGATAGTATGCACCAATATTGTTGGCAAAAATCTCAAAGCAATTGAATGACTAAAGATGATGACTCAACGATCAAAGTGTTAAATTCAAGAGGCATGATCTAGATCAATCATCTGAAAAATCAACAGACATATCAAGGCTACCCTCGACAAATCTGGTAGACAGGCCTATCTATGGTCTCAGCCATCTAAGCTCCCTAAAAGCCGATCGAACGGAACCATCCGACCGACCATTCATATCTCGGCAAAAATGTCCTCCACTTGACCTGTCGCTTTTGTCAGCCAAACCAAGACACATTAATCAACTGATCACCGCAATACTCAATAAATAAATTGTAATATAAATTTAGCACTAAATCAGCACATTGATTATATTAAGGCGGTTTCCATACTAGCTCTCCCCTTCCAACAATTTAGAGCAATTTACATTATCGCTCTCTCCTTCTATAATTATACTAGAGTACCTCCTATACATATACGGCTCGATCATGAATTAAGGGACCTTAGTATGAAGATTTATGTCTGGTCTCTTTCCGAAGAATTTCCTAACATCATTTTCTCTTTCTTTCTCTCCTTCCTCTCCTTCCTCTCTATGCTCTAACTCGAATAAAACAATAATATATGAATAATTAAATAACTATTATATTTAATTTATCTCAAAATAAAGCTTAGGAAAACAAATAACCTAATCTAAAGTTACCATAAATCTTTTTCCGAAAACTTTTGTAAAACCCAGACCTGCAAATTAGTTCCAAATATGTAAAAAAAGAAAGTTATCTATGTAAATTCCCCAAAAAAAATTATCAGTATAGCTTTCCAGCCACATACCGAACAGCTAACAAATTTCCATGTCGGCAGTAGAATAGAACACCATCTATTTATGTCCCACCACAAAACTTATAAACCCCATATCCAAATTTACATTCAAGATCCTCGTTCCCATCATTTAAAAAACAGTAGAAAATTTTAAAAAAGAAAAAGGTTATAAAAAAAGTTCAAAGCAAAAGGAAAAAAAATTTAAAAAAAAAACGAAAATTGCAAATTGCAGCAACGGCGACCATCAAAGTGAAGCCTGAATCGTAACGACAATCGGGCTCCTAACACTGTGCTGACCATCCTTCCATACGATCTCGCCGCCCCTCACGGAGGAACTCCCAGCCGGCAAATTCCCTCCCTCCCCCTCCGCCGCCTCCAACACCACTCTAAGCAGAAAGCTTAGTTTTTGTCCAGTCCGCCGGAATTTCAGCTCCATCGGCTCTACCTCCACCCTACTCCCCTCCGGCGCCAACACTTCCGCACGGTACACAGCTGCGCCTCCCCCAACGTTCGTTACTGTTCTCAAGAAATGCGTTGACACTCTCTTCTTACCACTACCTGCACCCCCATCAAACAATGCCGAGAACGACGGGTAGTTCAGATTCCCAGCGTGCCCTGCTCTCTTCGCCCCCCTGCAATCCGCACCTCTTCTCGTTATAGCCTTTATATTTTCCGATGTGTAGTTTAAATTGCAGAGGAAATTTATGTAATCCATGGGAGCAATGTCGTAGATCAGCCCCGGATCCATCGCTCGCCTTGGATCCACATGCCCGTTTCCGGAATCGAAAACGCCTGACGCGTTTCCGGTTGCCTCATCTAACATCGGCTTCCCCTCATTGTCTTTGATGTATGCGGTGGTCATCAATGCCGATCGAATAGCCGCCGGTGACCAATCCGGATGCGCTGCCTTCAGCAGTGCCGCAAGTCCAGAGACATGAGGGCACGCCATCGATGTTCCCGAAAGGATATTGAACTCCGTCCGGCGATGATCTGATGGGATCCCAGCGGGGCCAATGCCTTCCGGCCACGCAGCGAGGATGTTGAGGCCTGGTGCGATTACGTCCGGCTTCAGGATCTGGGGGGACTGAGGGCTGGGGCCTCGTGAAGAAAAGGAAGCAACTATAGGGGCCGGACGGACACCGAGGAGTGTGCCGCGAAAGAGAATGGTGCCGGTGGGACTGGAGGTTGAGGCTATGTATTTTCGAATCTCGTCTCCGGCGGTGGCTCCAACGGCGGTACCTGGGAGGACATGACAGTCAGCAACAAGCCCCTCTCCATCAAAGACGCCATTAGCCAGTATCATGCCAGCTCCTCCGGCTTTCCGAACTACTTCTCCCTTTGCCGCCCGGGAGTTGACCCCGCGGTCGCAAACGACGATCTTTCCTTTGACAGCGCTAGGGCTTAGGGATCCCTCGAGGCAGAGGGAGGCAGAATATCCTTCGCCGCCGCCGCTAGAAGCTCCGTTAGGGCTGCCGGCGTAGATTAGAGGGTACATCAATCCATTTTTCAGTGGAGGTCCACCGTAGACGCTGACACCTGGGAGAACGCGGCCATTTCCGAGGCGAACGTCGGCGGGGAAGGATCTATCCATGGATCCCGCACCGACGGTGGTCAACCAGGGGGCGACGTTGGTGACCGTGAGTCCACCAGGGCCACCATTTCCTGCAGAAGCGGAGACGAATATCCCAGCCTCTGCGGCCGCGAAGGATCCTACGGCGATGGCGTCAAGGTAGTAAGGTACCACAACTCCGCCAACGCTAAGAGAGACGACATTAACACCGTCGGCAACGGCCGCATCGAAAGCGGCGAGGATATCAGAATCAAAGCAACCAGCAGCCCAACAGACCTTATAGATGGCAAGACGGGCTTTGGGTGCCATCCCCGCTGCAACGCCATGCGCGTAACCAAGCGTGGAGGCCGGGTAAACATACCTGCCAGCTGCTATGGAGGCGGTATGGGTGCCGTGGCCGTCTGTATCGCGCGCAGAGCGAAGCTCTGTCGTCTCGTTCATGCGGCCGCTGGTGGCCTCGTAGCCGCCGGAGAAGTACCTTGCGCCGATAAGCTTGCGGTTGCATGCCGTGGTGAGGAAACCGGTGCCTGCAACGCAGGATCCGCCCCATTTGGCAGGGATGGGGCCGAGACCACTATCGGAAAAGCTGCGGTGCTCTGGCCAGATTCCGGTGTCGATTACGCCGATAACGAGATCGGATCCGAAGTCCGTTTCTGCAAGTAGACCGGAGCTGTCGGAGGATTTCAGTCCGAGGAACTGCGGCGAACGGGTAGTGTCCAGGCGGCGGACTTGCTCTGGCAGAACGGCGACTATGCCGGCAGTTGTCGAGAGGGCGGCCACTGCGGAGGGGGTCATGCGGGCTGAAAACCCGTAGAATATGGAGGAGTACGTGTGGATGAGAGGACCGCCGGAGGTCCAACCGGTGTCTCCGTTGATGGTGTCCGCTTCGGCGGCAGATACGGCGGCTTCGTACCAGTGTGCGTGCGTAGGGAAGACCGATGGCTTTGCCTCGCCGTCCACGCAGACAATGTAAGTCCGTCGGCGTGCCTTCTCCGACGAGGAGATGGCCGGAGAAGAAAGGAAAAGTACGGATAGGATCAGGACCATACAATGGTGATTTTCCATCATTTCTTGTTTGGATGAGCGATAGTGGAGCATGTGTTGTGTGGTAGTGAGATTTCTGGTATAAATGTGGAGGCATTGCTTCACTGTACTCGTTTGATTTAATTTTTTGCAGAATATAAATTTATTAATTTACTGTCAAACACAAAGTATTTATTTACTAATGTCAAATAAAATTGCAGATATAATTTTGAGGCCAATGACCAAAATTAATTATATTCGTGGCCGCTGGCTGCACGTATTTAAGCCCTTTGCGAGCTACGGGCGTGCTGTGGGGTCACCGGCATGTGTTTGCGAATCTCTCTTATTGAATTGATTTCCGATCTGGAATTTCAAACCTGTTGAAAACTACTGCATAAGATATTGGATTTCCTGAAATGCTTTACTACGTATATATTTGCTGTTTTAAATAAAAAATCTGAAGTATAAAATTAAAAATTAAATCATGCTACTTTGGCACTTAATAGAAGCCGTTAGCCAGCTACTTCTGCTGACTAAACATTCCGTTATTAAGCCAGGGATGATTTTATGATAGCAATTTGTTTTTATAGAACGGGGGAAGGGTATTGACCCGATTCATCAGCGGTTACAGATAAAAGTGAACCTAAGCCAAAGCAGATATTAGATGGGCGCACGCTTCATGCTCGGACGGGCAGACATTTCTGCAGTTAGCATTTATGATAGCAGACAGGAGGTGGCAAGGATGCCAGATATAATTAAATGATTTGATAAAAGGGTTAAATTGTTATAAAAATATAATTAAATTATCAAATAAATAGATTAGGTTATTAAATATACATAAAAACAGCTTGAAAATATTACTGTGGCGTTTGCATGCATACGACCCACTTCATAAGTATTTGCATATTTTGCACCTTATTTATATTCATAAATAAGGAGGTATAAAATGTAAAAATTGAAATTTAGGTGTAATATATATAAAAACATATGACTTAAGTGATATGAATTTAAATCTTCCAGAATTTTTATTGTACATCGAAAATGTGTCAGCATGAACCTCAAAAACATCCCTCGGATGGCGAAAGAAGTGGTGTGACCCTTTAGGACCTACCAAGGATGACCCGGGATCACACGCTCAACAGGCCAGCCCCCCGCGTGAGAGGAAGACGGTACGCCTCCGATGAATGAAGGGTAGATCACCCTCTGAAGATCCCATCTGACCGGATCCACTCGGATCTTCCAACTTGGATAGACCGAGAAGATGAAGCGTATGTGTCATTTCCAAAGCAGTTGACATGAACTCTCAACAAGTAACCGGTCAATTAGAAGGTTACTCAATTTTACTATTCATTAGTTCTCTCTCTCTCTCTCTCTCTCTCTCTCTCTCTTTTTCTCCTCTCTCCCTCCTCTCTCTCTCTCCTCTCTCTCTCTCCTCCATCCATCAGTGCTCTATTCCTTAAGTGTGTCTCCCAGATAGTTTTGGATTTAACAATTATGAATGTAGTTGAATCCCCAATTATTCATGGGCTCATACAACCTAAGCTTGACCTGTAAATAAAATAGAAAAAGAATGGAATGCAAAATTATTCCTTGAAAAGAGTTTGAGCAAGCCTTGGATCCTGAAAAATGAAAGAAGAGGCCAAGAGCCCTCAAAGGAAGGAGACCACCTCTATTTATAGAGCTCAAGACAATCTCTCTCCTATTGGGTGATAAAGAAGAGATAGAGAAAGAGTACTATATTTTTTAGAACAATATTATGTCTTTCCATATAATATATAACATATTGATATGAGATGAAAATGGTTGCTCGCTGTAAAGCACAGTCTGATATGTACTTATCCTTTACTCAAAGTTAGTATTTGAGAATCGATGGCTGATAAGGGGTATCCAGCTAATTAGCCGGGCAGATCAAACCAACAAGTCAAATCGGTAGTTGTTACCTGACTTCTTTAATTCTGCAGGTCAATCTAGCAGCTTGTATGAGTTTTTCAGCTCAGCAAGTGAATCTAATAGCTGGGATTTGACTTGATCAGTTCGACAAATTAATCTGACACCTAAAACTTGACTTAATCATTTTGTTAAGACATTTGTTAGGTCAACCTAGAAACTAATACTTGTTGGTTATTTTTCAAAAGAAAAGGGTTGATGATCGAGGAACGCTTAGGAAAGAATAGATGATCAAGATCAATGAGCATGTTAATATCATATTTGGCCCACGACAATCATTTATTTATATACCAATGTCGGATAATTTAATTATATTATATCTTTATAATAGTCTAATTGTATTAGAAAATAATAAATGATATCTGAAACCAATAATAGATGTCAATATATAACTCTATATAAATAGCATAGATATTAGAACATTCTGATACAATTTTTCTAGTTTAAGATGATTTCGTGGTTTATAATTTAGATTTGTGTCATTAGTTGATTTCTTTTATATTAAAATATAAATGATTTGTTTTAATGATATGGAAATGAAAATAAAATAAAAAAAAGAAATCTTAAGGATCGGGAAATTAAATTTTAAATTTTCATTTATTTAAGTTTTTCTTTAATTTATTTTCATGTAAATTATGGAATACAAATAAGCTAAGTTAGCAGTAACCACGAGAATAGAAAATTTAGATGATCAATGAACAAGCCTATTCAGTAATTATATGTGATGCATTATTCAAATTTGATTTTGATTCATAACAATAATCTGAAATGGAACAATCTAAGTAATATGGCAAATAAATGTGAACTTGAATTCAGAGAATTTGGATGTATGTGTTGCTACTTTTGGCATCTTTGGTGCTATAAAGTTATAGCATTATAATATTTCAACTCAAATTGGCCTAATGATTGAGAGTTTCGACATTCATCACAATATTGTAGGTAAAAGAACTAGTACATATATAGTCACCATGTGTTTGTGATTAAATTTGTACAAAGTCCTACAAAAATTCTCCCACTACCAACTTTCTCATATAGGCATATAAATTTAAAGGTGATTATTTATTTTGTGTATAATATAAGAAAATGAATTACATTAATTCTAATCATTTTTCATCCAATGTGCATAATATAAGAAAATGAATTACATAAACTCTAGTCATGTTTCATCCAAAAAAGATGATTATCATAATAGTATATCATTACAAAAATCTTTTTCTTCGACATTATCATGTGAGCTATATAATTTATAGTTAATTAATTTTCATACTTCATGCTTTAGGTAACCTATTGTCCATAGGGTTATACTTTGTGAGCTTTATAATATGATACACTAACTCATCAAGCATTATACATGTTATATTCAAAAAATTGTAGTGCCACTCCAAAATTATTAAGTTGTTCTCTCTCACATGTTGACTCTCTACTTGTTGGACAATTATTTCAAGTCTATTTTCTACATTTTCTTTCAATTTATTATATATATTTATACGTACGTACATTCATGCATACATATATTATATCCTTATTTTTTATTTTTTATTTTTTTGGGGATATTCATGCATATATATATATATATATATCCTTATTTTTTATTTTTTATTTTTTTGTGGAATGAGCGTTATTCGGCTCCCTACATGTTAATCACAAAAGTTGAGTACATGGGGTTGGGAGAGGATCCCCCATATCTAAACAGAAAATAATACATAACGCACTCATAAAGAGGTTCCTCTACCACATTACATAACCTCTCAACATTACAAAAGGAAAATAGCAAAACCAAAAGAAGACCATATAAGGTCGTATACCCCAAAAGGATAGGCTCAAGAAATAGAAATACATAACATGGAGCCAAAAAAAAATAAAAACTAAGAGCTTCTATATATAACCTTATATATTTTGTAGGTTTCTCTGAAAGTATGGTGGCATTTTATTTCTCTTATTAGGGCGCATCATGCTAAATTACTGCTCATTGTAACTACTTGTCATGTTATTAGGTGACTCCTCATCTAGCATCTTCGACGGCATTGGTGACACCATGATTACATAGATTAGACCTTATCTCCAAACTAATAAAGAGATGGGACCTAACATGATAATTTTTTTAGAACCTTAAATCTTTTGATGAAGCTATTCATCCATGAGGTGACAACTTCCACATCTTATAGCTAAGTATTTTATTTTATTTAGTGATTTTTTAATATCACTAGGCAATTTCAATTGTCCCAAGAGAACACGCCTACTAGACTCCTATTACTAGATGCCGATATGCTCACTTGTATCATAAAAGATTATTATTATTTTGCCAATTCAGTGTTGATTTGTTTTCAATATTCATCTGGATGGGCTGACAGGAGCCTAGCTTCCTCAACTTCAACTGAATTTTTATATAGTCATATATAGTCATGACACACCCACCCTACCAAGTATTAATTTGAAAAGTAACTCATTTACTGACGAAGGATGCAATCACATAAAAGAGGCAGGTTAAATTCACAAATGGGTACATGCATCGATGGGAAGTATACTTGTACAGGCTCGCTTCCGCATACAAAACCACTCGGATTCTCTTCGACTGTTAGTGCGGAGGTTAGAAATCCGAGCCATTTATTGCGCTTTGGATAGGGCTTCCTACTTTATTTTTAAGATAATTCCATCCGTATCAAAATTATTAATACTGCAAATAAGAGGTAATTAGAAAGGATTTGAATGCACTTACATATGTTGATCTTTCATTGAAGCTTTTATTTATTTTTATTTTTTTTTTGTAGTAGAAGAATGATTTGTTGATACTTTATTTTTTTTATTTCCTGTACTCTAAGCTTCACAAGATCCAAAGCCAGCCTGATATGAGTTTGGATCTTATGGCACCGCGTGGCAAATAAAAGAAAAATGAACAATTTTGGAATCAAAGTTTGCGCCTTGATTAAAGTCGGGTCATTGTCAACCGGTCATGACATGTGATTATTATTTGATTTTGAGTTCTTTTGTTTCACATTCGTAGTTGCATGGATGTGGTTTCTTAAAATATTTATTCAGTATGTTTTTTTACGAATTTTTAATTATCATTAAAATTAACTAACAATGTCACTAACTACCATATCCCACCACTCACCACTATTTAGTGTTTAGGGCCATGTGTGGTTATCATCATCTATTGTTCAACCATACCCAAAACACTATAGAAATTTTCAATTTCTCCTACGTCTACAATTCGTCGGTTATGATAAGAAAAATCATCTTTTTTAATATTATCAATGTTTTACAGACGATTTTAAACTCGTAAGTAAAACACTTGTTGGTAATTCTAAAATCAATTTTTACTTGTTTTCTCTAATTATACCGACGGTTATCCGACAATTTAATGACATGATTTTTTTCGAGAAAATTTGATTCGTCAGTTCGTATAACTGACAGTTATTTCGTCGGTAATTGCAACGGCACACACGTCAAGAAGTGTCGCTCCTGTCGGCTTTTTTAAGCGACAAAAACGTCGGTTATGCGTCGTTTATAGGCAGTTTTCTATAACCGAAGAATTAACTGTCGGAAAAGTGTCGCCCCTGTCGGGTTTTTTTATGCAGCTAAAAATCATCGCGTAAGCGCCGTTTTTTATAACCTACGGATTAATTGTCGGAAAAGTCTTGTATCTGTCATTTTTGTGTGACACACCTTAAGTCGTTGGTTATGTGTTAGTTGGGTGTCGGTAAAAATGTCGATCAGTCAACTGTTGGTTTTGCCTATGAATAAGTATAGAACCGTCACAAAACCGGTAGTAAGCCGTCGGAAACCCATTGCATAAGAAAAAATAAAACATTTTTTCTTTGGTATTTACATTATCACACTTACTATCACAATATTTAATATATAATTTCAACATTTAAGGAAATAACATAGTTATCAAACAATAAATTATCCAATCAAATAATTAAATAAATAAAATGCATTTACTTCAAAATATGTACATCACTGTTCACAGAAAAAAAATATGTTCAAATGTACATAAACTAAAATAAATGCCCCTCCTAATCATCCTCCTCCATCTCGTCAACCTTATCCTCGACGTCCTTCGCCACTTCCACCTCCTCCAATGTTGTTGCTGCTTTGCCACGTCCCCTCATCCGCTGCTAGAAGGAATCCAACTCAGCCTTCAGCTTGGCCTCCATGTTCGCCTCAAGCTCCAATCTCATCTGAGAGAAGCGGGCCTCCATCTCAGTAAAGACTGTCTCAACACACCTGGAGATCTCCTCATTCTGTGCACTAGAAGTAGAAGCTGTAGATGCACTGGTAAAGGGGTGACCGTCGTAGGCAAACCGAAAAGGAAATAACTAATAAAGCCGTCACCCACTTCCTCAACTAGGGCATAACCAACCTGAGACAATCGTCTATACACTAATTCCCCTCCTAATCTAAATATGTCAATCTTCAATATCTCAAATTGAAGTCGGAGACTGAAACCGCCTCTAGGATCGCAAACACTTCGGATCGTCTATACACTAATTCCCCTCCTAATCTAAATCTGTCAATCTTCAATATCTCAAATTGAAGTCGAAGACTGAAACCGCCTCTAGGATCGCAAACACTTCGGCTCGAAGTGCCTCAACTTCATCTTGAAGGATGGATTCTTGTGCCTGCATCACATCAAGTTCTTCCTCTAGTTTCTTTTCCAACCGTGAGTCCAGAAGAAGAGTGTGATCAGCCTCCCGGATCAGTGGAGTCCGCGCCTCACAAAGCTGAAGTCAAGCCAAGTCGGGTTGTTTCGACATGTCGGCCGTCTCAATCGGGTCAACTGTTGGGCAAATTGTGACATCTTTGGTGGTCCTCTCGAACGTCTAGAACGATCAACGGATCCCAAATCCGCAGCAATCCCGACATTACCACGTTCCATGGGAAGAATAATGTTAGTCCCCTCACCATATGATGTGCCCATCATCTTATGCAAATCTGAGGTAGTAAAGGAACAAGCTCCCTCGGTCTCCAATTCCACCGACGAAGGAATGACAGCAGATCCAAGAGTGTCAACCGGAGAGGGATCGTGGACTACCCCTTGAGCAGCCACCCAAGTTCCTCAAGCAGCATCACCATAGTAGCAGGCTGCTACCTCTGCTCTTCCACTAACATAAAAAGATCTCAAGCAGAAGATAATGGCTCCACTGTTTTACCCTCCTGACGGGTTATTCTCGTCGTCCAACGTTTCTTCACTAGGAAGTTGTAGGTTGAATTCAAAGTGAGTCTGATGATCCTACTATGTCCCCAAGCTCAGGGAGTTTTGTCTCAGGCACAAGAAGTGTTTCAAGACGTGCACTCTTAGAAGAGGACTTCACCCACTACTTCATTACATGAAAAACTATCTTCCATCCATCCTCGTCAAACTTAACTAACTTGGAGGGAGGACTGCTCTCCATGACCATCGACAACTGATAAGAAAAGTAGCTCGCCCAAAGAAAAATAAGATAATATACATTTTTTCTTCAACTTAAATGGAAGGGGTATTTTACAAGGAATTCTATGAATGTTCAACTATTGTGCATTTAATAATCATGAATATCAACACCTTTTTGAATATTAAGATTTCATTGTCCTTATAGCAGTTATCGCTATTTAGGAGTAAGAGAATTGAGGAATTTAAATATGTATATTAAAAATGTGTCAGCACAAATCTTAAGGAGATCTGAGACAACTGAGAAGATGAAGTGATGGTTTGGGACCCATTAGAGACAGTACAAGGGCCATTATTTACTCTGTCGGTGTGAGCCTGGAGAAAAATAGTCTCAAAACGAACAAAATCCAGCCACCCTCCTAAAGTTTACAGGCATAAAACTTCGAGCAGGCGAATCAGCCGACATTCCTCAACCAATTCATATGAACGATGAAAATTGCATGGACGTCAAGCAGTCAGTCGAAACTTCCCGGCCTAACCTTCAGCCATAGCCGCCCAGGAAATGACCCGAACAGGCAAACCCTCGGGCTCCCAGCGTGTGGCCGCAAGGGTCAAAATCCGACTGATCGCCATCCCAGGCTCCTGGCTCTACCCTACTAGACGTTGTATCTTGCTTCCGGCTCAATAAATAATGTATTAACCAAAATATCCCTTGTTGTACATACCTTACTAGGGGTATAAATATATTCTTACAACCCCAATTTTTATATATAGGTGTTCATTTCGTGATTAAAGTTTACACCATTGTACTGTTCATCACTAAGCTTTCTACTCTCTTCCACAAAATCTCGCTCTATTTCTTAGGCGTCTCCCGGACATTTTTGGATCATATATATATATATAATATATATATATAGATTCAAACTTCTTCAAGATCAGAAAAATTTATGACCCCTGAAAATACGATTAAATAAAAAAAGACAAATTTCGGCACAAACAAGGGCTTATTTTACATCCTTGTTGATTTTACAAATGGAAGTTATTTGTCATACTATTTAGAACACAGAGTTAGCTGATTTGGCTACCGCCGGTGGTCGAGCGGGAAGCAAGTCTCATCCCCGCCTGTTAGTAAGAGAAAATTCGCGTAAGAGCTCTGATGATAGGAGCTGGTAGGATCCGCCTCAATTGAATCCAAAAACATCTCCTCCGCGCCAGCCAAGTCTCCGCGCTCGTGCCACAGAAAATCGGCGTATTTGTGCATCGCCTCTCCGTCCACCGGCTCCGTCATCACAGCCAACTTGAAGTACTCTTGCGCCCTGCAAATGTCATGCGGCAATGTACGAGTTCATTGAGCAAGTTATGAAAATGAATGCAAACAATATCTGATTTTGGCCCTTGTGGGCTTCCCTTTCCATCGCTCACTTAAAAGGAAACTTAATATCTTTATTGCACTATCACTATATTTTCACTATTCTTTATACAAAAAAATTGCATTTGTGACAGCTCAATGTTAGTGATTGGAGCAGTAGCAGCAGAAGTTGCAGCATAATAACTTTTCTCTTTAGTAAGAATGGATCCAGTTCAGCTGTCTAGTAATTGTACTTTGTGAAAATTAGACTATTGGCCCGAAAATGGAGATCGCCACAAGAACACGTCAATTTTTGGCTCCAATTGAGCAAAAATAGTCACTAATGAGATGAGCTACAAGCCTCATTTTATGTTTGTATAATTCTTCGAGCAAAATTTTGAAGCAAGCCTGCCTAGGATCTAGTTGCCTCATTGCTTTGATCAATAACAAATTTCAAGCATGAATTATAATGCTTATGCCAATTTCGGGCCGAAACTTAAATGGTTCCAAACCGTTCTCACCCCAAGTGAAAATCAACCTTTTCTTCAAACACTTGATCCTGTCGCTAAATATTAAGATTAGAAGGGCAGGATTGGAAGTTGAATAATCAGGGAAAAATCCATTCTTTATTAGATGAGAATGAAATATTAGGCTAAAAAATATGATATGAATTGAAGAGATATTTTTGGGAGTAGAACACTTTGGAAAAGACGGTTATGATTTTTTAAGTCAATAATATGTATGCTCAATTCTTACCTCACAAGACTTGAGAGGTTATTTGGTGGAGAGTTTAAACAAGTTTTACAAGAATTTAGCTTAAATATTAGTCAAATAATTTCTTATGGTCGCTAAATCTAATAATCCTGTATAAGCTCGTTCTCTCCATTTTGTGCTAATCATGGATTTCAAAAATGTAATGCCATATTTTATAAACTGAATCATAGCTGCCCATGTGACTTGATGATGTAGGTGCTATTACTCTTGTGGGCCAATAAGGGGTGTGGTGGCATCCATTTTTAATGTCATACATATTGGGCATCCTTTCGACTGACATGGGAGCACACTGCATTCCTAAGCAATGCCCCATCGTTCAAGGAGTCAGTAGAGCCTTCAGCGGGCAGAACTTGCACCGGATTAAGGGTTTGTCCCATTTCGGTCATGATCAGAAGCGGCTACTGTCGATCGACATTGGTTCCCTAATATAAGCTGAATCTGACGACCTTTCTGATGTTTGAAAGCCATATTTTGGTCATTCAAGGCTTTTCGAGGTTCGAACAAAGCCATAAACCCTTCGACGGAATTTTTTAGAAGTCTAACTCTTGTGGGGTCTGGTGTCCCTAGTGACCACGCCCGAAATCAGGTGTGGCCATGCTAAGGCTTCCTCTAGGCGCCCAAAGCGCTTGAACTAGCGTGACCAAGCCAACCTCAGGTGTGGCGAAGCCGGCTCAATAGAGCCCCCGGTGTAATTATGTCGGAGTGCGTGTGAACATGCCCAAAGCCTCTACAGGCTGCGAACGTCTCTAACTGGCGTTACCACACCAGCCCTACAGAGTTTCCAACATATTTACACCGGGGAGCGGTCGTGACCACGCGACTTCAGCTAGTTCGCGACCTTTTTACGCGTCGGTCCCCAAATTTTCGCTGACAGAGATGTTTAACCGCCGAATGAGCCATTTTTCACCGGTCATTTTTAACCGGTTTTAAGCCTAAAATGATACCTAGAGTTACCCGAGCTAACTCCTAAAGAGGCAAAAGATCAAATCTAAGCCTGGAGCCAAGGAATAACTAGCTCCTAGGGGGCAGAAGGCGAGAATCTCTAGCCTTCGCGAACCTTCGCGAGCCCCGGACTTGGGAACGCTTCGAGAGCATTGAGCAAGGAGTCTTCAGAAAGGAGCTTAGATGAGGATTCTCTTCTCCCTCAAGGAGAAGAACATAAATGAGGCCAGCTCTTTCACTTCTTCTTCTTGCTTCTCTTAACCTCCATCGGTTCCTTCTTCCTCCCTTACAACTCTATGTGAGCTTAGCCCGTGAATATCCTCTCCGATGAGGAAAGAAATCATTGGCATTTTCGTCGTCCTCTCCCGCAAGAAGAGCCTCCACTTTGGAGAAGGAGATTAGTGGCGTCTTCGTCATGCTCGTCGCAAAGGAACTTGGGCAAGCCTAGAAAACGCGTCATCAACCGCCGCGTCGTGAGAAATTATGAAAGCCTTCGCTCTTCCTTTCTAGCAAGCCTCTAGGCTTTGTGTTAGAGACAATAGGATAGGTTTTGTGCTACAGGAAGCCCCATAAGTTAGGAGCTGTTTGATTCCCCTACGAATCCTTGTGAGCTTTCTCCATACCCCTAGTCATAAATCTGAAAGTCGAGATTCTTGAAATCTCGTAGTTGCACCGGCGGTTTCGTTCTCATGATGGAGAGAACAAAATCGACTTCTTGGATCTAGAGAACGAAAAATCTCAAGATTTTGATGTTCCCTAGGCCATGAAAGTTTTCTATTACGAAAATTTTTCATGTCGGGCAAATGGAGATAGACCGTCTGTCACTCCGCTCGACAATCGGTTGATATACCTCATTACCATACTACCTTAGATCCCTGTGAGAAGGCTAGGACGAGCCTGACTCGCATCGAAAACAATTGGATCTTTCATATTGTATGTATTCGCATTCATGTCATATACACTACATGATTTTTCAAAATATGCATCAAAAGGTCATGTGTTGTCAGCCGACCGACTACACCGGCTCGATCGACCATCTTTCCCGCAACCTGATCGATCGACACAGCCACCGGCCCGATCGGTCAATTGACCCAGTTGTCTGTAGACATGATCAATCAGTGTCGCCACCTGCCCGATCAGTCAATTGCCCCTATTACCCGTCGACATAATCGATCGACCGACATCGACCAATTGGCAATCGATCACCTTCCCGTCTACAAGATCGATTGATCACTACCGACCCGATCAATCAATCGACCTTTCTTCCGTCGATTCGATCGATCGATCGCCACTAGATCGACGATCGACCAATCTCACTGATTGTTGTATTTTTGCATGTGTTTTGAGTTGTCCGCAATAGCACATTCACTCTTACATTTGCACTAGCACATTGTTGTGCACCCGTGAGCATATGTCCTCATATGCTCATAGCATGTATCTGTGCCACTTGGGCACAATATTTTGTACATCTGCTTCTTGACATCCTCATATGTCATCGTGCACCACAGCATGTGTTTGCACTTTTGCACACTTGCATGTTTTCCTGCATTACATCATGTACGTTCATATGTTGCATGTTTGAAATGTTCCTTTGAGTCAGTGTTCTCACACACAATACATTCACTTGTCTTCTTCAGGGATTTCTATAATGTTTATCTTTTTTGACCTTCTTCTTTCATTCAACAAGGCTTTAATATAAGGTTTTTTTGGTCTTCATGATTTCAAATTTCTATCAGGAAAGTCGTCGGCATCCGTTTCCCCTTCGATGGTTGTATCTGACGACAAGTGGTGCTCCGGTTGTATCTCATCTGATGTGGTGACCTTCTCCAAGGGTTCGAGTGGTGCTCCAGTTGTAGCTCGATCGCGTTTGGATATTTATTTCAACTCCTCCAAAACCCCTTTACAGCCATTCCCCTCACTATCACAACCCCCAGACAACCCTCCCTTAGCTGTCCTGTAGCCACCACCCTTCCCTTCGTCGTTGTCATCATCATATTCATTGCAACCACCCGGCAAACATCCTCCTCATGGTTTTCCTGCAACCACCTACCAACTAGCTCCCTCCCCCCTACTGCCATCCCTCGTTGCCACCTTCTAGCACCCAACCAACCCCTTTACTGCTATCTCTCTAATGTCCCAGCTAACAGAATCCCTTCCCCTGCATTCTAGTTGTTAATCCAGCCTTGCCAAACCAGTTCTCTGCCACCTAATCACCGTCCCAGCCCAAACCCTCACACCGCAGTTCACAACCCCCAACCTTCTCTCTGCAGTCAACCAACACTCCCTTTCACTTCTCGGCCGCACCCATGGCCAACTCACAACCACTTCACCAGTCACCACTCTTGGGATCAGTTTTTATTGAGTTTGGTAGTGTTGTGTGTTTATTGTTGTATTTCCTTTTCGTTGTGAACTTGTAACTGCTTATTTGCTTTGAATAATAATATTTATTTTTTAGTTAATTGGGCTCACTTTAGTATCATTTTCTTTCTTCCTTGCACTTGATACTTTTATTCACAACCTTCGACGTTAACGAAGTAGAAGCCTTATTTTTACTTGCTTTCTCTTTGCAATCAAATACTGTCATATTTTTTTCTTCTCATAGATCATAACAATACCCTTATTGGCCATCGGTTCATTTGGATCATCGGTCCATTTGGAACTGTGATTTGCAATCCAAATTTAATGGGAAAATTATAAAATATTCACTCAATATATCAATTGAATAGAAAAAATTTCATGCCGTCTTAAAAAGAAGAGAAAAATAAGGCCATTTACATGGCATCCAACCTCAGCAAGGGATGACCATAACTCTATAGTGACTTCCTAGTAATGAAGCTACGGTTACAAAAATAAGTGGAACCTACATGTTTCTTTATTCAGAAAATAGAAACATAGGATATAGGGATCAAACATATTTTGAAGTTCATGATGCAGCCAAATTTTCACATAGTGAGAAGAGATTCCATCATAAAACACTCCAAGCAATTATAAGATATTTGGCATGAGATGAATCATGATCAATCAATCTAAAAGAAATGCAGAAAAGATACAACGCTCTTCAAAATGGTTGCTTAAAAAAACCAAATTTATGATTTTTCTTGTTGGATTAAATGTTAAATTTGAAATTGTAATGATGTAATTTTTTTAACATGAGAATTTATCTTCCCAAAATGATGTCGTTACCATCATTCAAACAGAAGAAGGGATGAGAGTTATGTCTATCAATAAGCCCAACGTTTGGCCTTACTAACTAAGGATGCTAACATCAAGTACTTAAATTCCAAACTCTTTTCTCTCAAGGAGCACACGTAGCCAATCCTAACAATGATGCTAAAGAAAAAAAAATGCTTGGAATTTCATGAAAACTCTCTCAAAGAGCACAAGTAGCCAATCCTAACAATGATGCTAAATAAAAAAAAATGCTTGGAATTTAATGAAAACCCACTAAACAAAAACTAACAGAAAGAAAGGCAAATAAATTCAAAATAGGCAATGAATAATACATGTGAAAGAAAATCACACCAAAGAATTGCCTATTAAATTCCTGAAAGAAGAAATTGAAAACTTACACGTACGACTAGAAAAGACTCTCTATGAGGGGCACTTCTCTTGGATTTCTTTTAAGTATCAGAGATACTGCCCTAGAATACTAATTTAAGAGCCACAAATCATAAGGCCAACTTCTCTCAAAAATTTATTTCATATACACCTTTTGTAAGTAATAATAAATAATTATTGGTGCTGAGCCCTTAATGATTATTGTCGGTCAAGGAAATATTATTCTAAAGAAAATCCTTCATATTTTAAAAACTTTCTATGAACTCAAATTATTCACTAACTTGTTACAAAAGCTAAGCACATATTCAAAAGACAGTGCTATACTTTACCTTTCAAATTGTACATTTAGAAAGCAAGAGAAAGATGATTGAACTATTTAAGATGATCTCTATCATCTCAAAAAATTCAATGAACAAGAAAGTTCCACACAATTCATCTTTTTTCTCTCCCTTTTGAGACATTTTATGTATCATTTAGGGTGGCTCGTTGTTTGGGAAGGCCACAGGACTGCAACAGGGGAAGACATTGAGGTGCAAATCCGAGACATGCAACCACTTGGCTCAATCTACGACAGGCTGCATTCCACCACTTGGCTCAATCTATGGCAGGCTGCATTCCACGATTTCGTTATATTTTCTTTCCGACTTTACCCCTCAACTATTTTGAATATGCCTTGTGATATTTTCAAAAACCCTCCATCAGGAGCATCAATGTTCTTGTTCTCGGTGTCTCTGTGCGGCTGTAATTCGTTTTCTCTGGGATGATCATTGTTTTTTTTTTCTCACTCACTCCCTACGTGGGAGCTTCATTTTCTCTCTTAACAGATAGCATTTGGCTTCATATGAGCTTTTTTTCTTCAATTTGGGTGATTTTGCGTCTGAGATTATTCTAAGATTTTATCTATGAGATTAATAGTTTTGAGTAGTTGCATCTCCTTAAGCATTCGTTCTTTGCTTTGTTGAGTCTTTGATGTTAATTGGAATGCTGAGTTGCGAGGCTTGGGTTTGAATTTGATTGTATCTTGACTTTTTTTCTTTTTTTTGTTCCGTGATTATGATATGATCATCTTATTACCTTATGGAGCATTTATTTAAGGATAATTGTGCAGTATGTCCAAACTTCTTTATAGTTTTGTGATCATGGTATGATCTTCTTTTTGCAGCTTTGCGATCATTTGCAGCTTTGCGATCATGGTTTTTTTCTTTTAGTTGTGTCACTTTACTCTATTAGCTCACTGCTCACTCCTCTGTGTTGAACCATAACTACTATTTAGGTGTTAGATATGTGAATACATCAGAATTGTGTGTTATGTTTGAAAATTGTTGTTTAAGCTCTCGCAGAAAGATGACATTTAGGTGTTAAATATGTAAATACATCAGAATGGTGTGTTATGAACAAAAATTTGTGGTGTAGCATTCAATATTCTCTTACAATATCAAGCATAAGTTTATTATTTTAATGTTAGATATGTCAAAACATTAGAATTGTGTGGTAAGTCTGCAATGTGTTTATTAAATGAACATAATGAGTCATAGTTGAGAGACATATATGACTTCGTCATATATTGGTGACAAATGAATTGGAGAGTTATTAAGAGGGCATCCAAGGATATTTCACAATATGTTTTGCATGTCACAAAAAAAAAATTTTTTGACCTTCTGCTAGAGTTGCTTTCAATATTCTCTTAAAATATCAAGCATAAGTATATTATTTTGATGTTAGATATGCAACACATTAGAATTGGTTGGTATGTTTGCAATGTGTTTTTTGAATGAATATATAGAGTCATCTTTATGTACAAGATCATTTATGACTTCGTCATATAGTGGTGACAAATGAATTGGAGAGCTATTAAGAGGGCATCTAGCGATATTTGACAATATATTTTGCATGTCACAAGAAATTTTTCTTGACCTTTTGCAAGTGTTGCACACCTTCTATGGTCTCCAATATTCTTCCAGGACAATAGGATAATAACCATGCATGGAGAATGGGTTAAAGAAAGAAATTTTTCCAGTAAACTTGTTGGATATTAAAAGTAATATTATAATAATATTACTATTTGTAATTATAATTTTAAATTTTGTGGTTCTCAGTGTTATGTGATGTACAATTTTTATGTAATATTTTGAACTTGTGACTTTTTTAAAATATATGAAATTCATTTATGCTATTATGTATGTGTTAATTCTAAAATGGTTAACTTACAAAAAAAACATATGTAGATAATGACAATACGGTCTTTATTTCATAAACAACTGCAGCACAACTAATACCTAATGCACAGTTAAACTAATCAAACAAACACAATATTCACGAACAACAGCTTCCCTGCAGCAACTTCTTCTACAGTTGTTGCACAGCTGATTCTTCAAACAGCTGCAACTACCCCCATACAGACCCTTTATCTGATAAAGAAGATATATGACTCCAAAAATTATACATTAGCCATCCTTCTTTAGTTATCCTTAAAACTATATCTCCTTTAATATTAAAAATTTTTATTATATATTTGATAATTAACAAAACAAAAATATACAACTTTTCCAATAAGTTACAAAAGAATTCAAAGACATCTTTATCTAATTCATGGTCATATTTAAACAGTTTACATTTCTGGAGCCCGATACTTCATGTATTTTATTAAAGATTGCATTTATACGACCTGAATCTTTTTACTGAAAGTTAATATAAATAACATTTTATCACATTTTTAATGATCAAATTGATGTTAAAATTCGAAGGGTTTAATCTATGAGTGTAACTAGGACAAACTGACTCATGAACAAGCTCGATAGATGGCTCTTGAGAAAAGCTCGATGAGCTAACAAGCTAATAATGAGTAAGCCCTGACTCAACCAGTTAAGAAAAGCTAGATGACCTAACAAGCTAAGCATGACAAGCCCTGACTTAACCAGCTAGCTCGTGAGCCAAATCTTTTAAAGACTATTAATAAAAATAGACTAAGAATACTACTTGAGTTCAAATATTTTAACAGCCGCTATGTTATAAAAGATCTTTAGTAAAAATTTATATAACTTTGCAAACATGCGAAACATTAAGGGGGTGAATGCATAAAACATGGATAAGAAAGAGCAAGATACCTGTCCCGATCCCACTCGAACTGGTACAAGAACTGCGCGTAATTGGACAAGATGAGCGAATTCGGCTGCTTCTCGCGAACAATCAACGACTCGTAATATGATCGACGCCGGCTGTGATTCAGCTGCCGGGAACAGGACTCTACCCTTTCTGAATCATCAAGAATTCCTATATCCCCCCAGCTCCAATACTCGCCAATCTCCAAAGTGTCCCCAACGACGCCAGCTGCCACAGCTCCGCTGGAAGCCACCTCCAACGATAGGGTCGCCGTCCCCATCTCAAAATCAAACGCCGAAGAGACCGTCTCTACAACGGACTCCTCCACCGATAGCGCGACGAAGCCGGCCGTCAGACAAAGGATTGCTGAGAGTATATTGGGCGATGTGGAAAAGATTCGGAGGAAAATCCAAACCAACGGCTCCGTTGAATCCCAAAAAACCCTATCCTGATCAGCCTCTCCAGCAACATACACGGCTGATTTATGGAGCTCTTCGAGCAAACAGATAAAGGACCATACGGCGCCACTGATCGGGCAGAGAGCTGAAGGGTCCACCGGTCGCCGGATATATATACACTTAATTATTTTTGAGTCAATTCAAGCCGAACACAAGCGAATTGTTCGTGTTCGGCTCGTTTACATTTCAAGCTTAAAAATTTGTTCGTCTTCGGCTCGTTAGGCTTAATGAACGAGCCGAACACGAGCTATTCGCGAACAACGAGCCAAATTGACAGCCCTACCTGGAACTAGTTCTTTACAAATCAATTCATCTATCTTTTAAATTCTCACTCGAATATCAAAATTTACAATAAAGCCCAACTAATGGTTTTCTTTTTTATTAAATTCACAATAGTTCAAAAAAATCACATGGATGATTAATTTATAAATATCAAAATTTTAGAGGGTATTTATATAATTATCCCAAAAAAATAATGTTATAATAAAATATATCGTGAAATTATTTACATATTTAACATCTAAACATTCATATTTACATGCAAAATATTTAAATTTTTAAAAATATATTAAAAATATTATTATTATTTACATTGAAAAAGTGAAATACTTTTTCTCATGATTAATTTCATGATATCAAAATGTTATATATGTAAATATAACAGCTTATATACTACATATATAAAATACACAAAAGTTATGTAATATGTACCTAAGTTTCAACAATAAAAAAAATAATTTTTCGAGTTGTCTCGTCACCTAATAGTTAATGTTTAGACCTCATCTTAAAAATTTAGTGTTTGAACAGGACACGAGTAAATGTGTATTATGCTTCCACATGCAGTCTTCTTAAAAACATCTTATTAAGACCTTATTGTTAAATATAGATCAACTAAATTTGTCATAATGTTATACACTTTTCTTTAAGAAAGTATTTTATTAGTCAACCTCATCAAATGATGTTGTTGCATACTATAACATTCTCAACCATAGAATAATCTTAAACATTATCTTAGTATAATTTTTCAGCATTCAGACAAATTGAAATGTAAAAGACAATCAAATATTTTACGTAAAAAATCATGTACATGAAAAAAATCATGGGGCATGGACTAATCAAAATGACAAGTTGAAAATACATAGGTTATTTTTTTTCTAAATTAGGGAATATGAGATTATAAAAACTAACAATTCCAACTATATAATAGTAGTTTGGCTATAACAGTCATAGTTGACCTAAAAATATAATCAGTGGTTACAAAAACTCTAGTTTGTTATAATAATTATTGGTGGTCATCGACAACGTTTGGTAGTCGTTCACCTGTGCTTCTTTTCCAAATTTATGCGTTAGTTGTTAGCTTGCTCTTCTTTTATCCTCCCCCTTTCATGTAAAGAATGCAAAGAATTGTTTCAACATTCAAGTGTCTTAATGACCTTAGAATTAAAAAATGTTGAGCTTGATGTATTCTCTCTTATACCTGTTTGATTTAATTATAAGCATGACAAATTTATAGAATGTTTGGCCTTCCAATTAATGCATAAGAGTCTTCAATTATACTTCTAGTGTTTAATGGGTGCTTATTTGGACTCGGATTGGATTACTTTAATTTTCATTCGGTTAATATTGTCAAGACAGTTAGTTTAACTATAAATTTGCTGAAATTAGAACTTAGATGACCAAGAATTTGAATTTTTAAGATCACTTGTCCCAAATGCATCGAGGTTTGTGCCTAATCATATACATTTGTGGTGAGATGTCAATCATGTTATGAATTTTTATGCAAATTTTTTATGTTATTTCACATAAAAAATATGTATGACATAATAAATTTCTAAAAGAGTAATGATGTGTTGCCCCACCTTTAAATAAAAAATCCTAATGTATAATCATCTGCACTTGATAAAAGCATAATATACAATGACATGATCTTTTCTTTTTCTTTGTATATCTAGAAGTGCAAGCTCAACTTTGAATAATAGATAAGAGTAAAAATGAAATGCCATAGAGAACAACGTTACAGCTCTCAGCCAAAAAAAAAAAAAAAAACCAACAACAACAACAACTTGTGAGAGAATATTTTGTAGAAAAAGTTGACAGCTAAGAGATATTCTCAACTAAGAATTGGACTTAGATGGTGAATATTCATTTAACAAGATCATAATAGAAACTACCATAGTTGCCTACAGGATATCTAAGTGGAAGGAACTTTATAGAGACAGAACCAACAAAAAAGGCCAACCACAAAAAAGGTAAGATAGTGAGAAGGCAACACGACCCACATCATCGTTGAGAAAAAAAATATAGAGAGAATAAAAAAACAGCTTGTAGCCAAAATTGCACAAGAAACATTGAGCTAAAGATAAACATATCAAGAGAACCATAAGAACTCGCAGTCGTGTAACTTTGAAGAAAACCATCCAACAAATTTGCTTTGAACTTCATGATTGATGGTAAAAATGATGGTGAAAAAAATTGAGATTCTTCCCAACATTGCTTTCATTCCAAATGAAACATATTATGCTACAAATGGTGAGAAGATACAAATTTTCAGTTTTTGTTTTTCTCTATGATGTTTCATTGATGTAAAAAAAAAAACTTGACGGAGAGTGGCACTTCAAAAAAAAAAAAAGATAGCAAACAAGATGCAAATAATAAGAATGTTATAAGTGAAGTCACATTTGAAAAATAGGTTTCTAAGAAATTTAGTGGTTCCAGTATGGAAAAAGTCCTCTAGTCATCAGAGCAAAACTAGGCTGTCATACAAAGAGTAAATCACCATAACCTGACGGGTAGATATTGCTAAGCTAAAAGGGTCTACGGTGCATGCCTAAGAAAAACCTCACAAAGGAAACGACTATGCCCAAAGGGGTTGATGAACACTTAAGTCAAAAAAGAACTTAGTTAAGTAGAGATAGTTTTGTTAAGGCTCCATTGACACATCCTCCCAGACTATTGGAGCTCCAGATCTACTAAGATGTACAGGTAGTCGACCCAACCCAGTTGACGATCACTTCATCAGCAACTGATGAGTTACATTGTCCGAAGCAATCCAATTTATCTAAAGTCGACCTAAGGTATAGACAAAAAACCTATATAGAAAGAAAGTAACATGGACAACTTAGCTACAAAGCTGAGCTACTCCACAAAGGACTTACAATCCCGTCTCAAATAGGACAGCCTCTAACAATCTATATCACACTAGATAACCACCTAATTGTATAAAATGTATGTCAGCCAAATCAAATCTGAAATCTAGAGTACCTTTCCCGAGTCACACAACATGTATGTAGTGATCTAAGGCATCCTAATCGTGGAGGCCATAATAATATGCAAGAGAGAAATATTCATATATTTTGTGATCATATTAAAACCGGCCTGAAAGTCATACAGAAAAGTAAATGCATGATATATAATGACATAGTTTAAAATTCTAAATATTTTAGTCCTAAAATTTATTAAGATGAATCTCTTAAGTTAGCTTTTATTACGAAGACTTTATCCTAAAGAGCTTAGTTGTGATTCTATCCAGACAATTCAGAGTCATAAGAAAGAGCAAACACATGCAAATTGTGGCAACATACATACTCAATATAAAAGAATAAGAGGTTGGTACCCACTAGGTTGGTTACAATCCAAAAAAGAAAAAGAGCAATTGGGCTTTACATATACATACCAAATCCTAAAACTATACAACAAATTTGCAAATAAGAAATTAAGGTACAAGACACAAGCAAATAATTCATGATCCTTACCACACGGTTATGAAACTAAGCTCTAGGATTTATGCTTGTACTTTATTTACAGCACAAAATCTCCTAAAGGACTAAAAAATACATAGAGAAAAACTAAGGGAATACTCGACCTGCAATACAAAAGTTAGCACATGCTATCTTATGCATTGTATAAAATGTTACATCCAATGAGAGGAGAGATAAGCAGCAAAGAAAAAAAAAGAGTAATATATTCACCAAAAAAGAAAAAAACTGAGTGTTTTTCCACTTTGAAGAGAAAAAAAAACTAGATAATAATATGGAAAATGAAAGAGAACACCAATCAAACATTTAGATCAAGTAATACAAGCAAAAGCTTTGGAATCCCAAATCCAGAACTGTTCAACTCTTTTGTTCTTCTCTATAATTTGCATTGAGAAGACTGAGCTCTCTCATCTTCTTCAATCTTCCCTGGACTTTCGTTGAAGAATTTATGAAGAGAGATTGGCTTTTGGTTTCCTCAGTTATCAAACTCCACAAATCTTTTCTTTCAGACATCTATTAAGAATAGAATCGAAATAGCATCTTTTAAGCTCTTCTCAGCACTTTTATTGTTTTATTAATGAGATTACTTAGAAAATTTGTCAAAAATTTTCTTTGGCCATACTCCCTTTCAAATTTCCCAGTGCTTCCACTTCTTACTTGAAGCTAAAAGGTCTAGAAACACACTTTGATGCCAAATGGAAAAGGTTATCCTTCCTCATGATCCTGTAGAACTCTGAGAATTCAAATATTCTTGGTCTTTTATTTTTCTATCATTCTAGAATTTTTTACATGAGTTTTACCACTTCGCACCTTTTTTTCTGAAAGAAAAAAAACTAGGACATTGGTAGACAAAAAGGAATTACATGATTTTCAAGAGAGAGACTTTTTTGCCCCCTTCCGTTCGTTCCCTCGGAAAAGCACCCAAGCCCTGAGTGGTAAGAGAATCTCACTATACTAGCTTTTTCGTTCCTCTCTCTTTGCTCGAGCCTATCTCCTCTCTCTTATTGATCTCCTCAATTCCACTTTTACCGCACACAAGTGGTGCCTGATGTCGGGCATCAACGACTGGAAAATGTTCCTGCTTAGGGTTTCCCTGTACCACAGGCCGAGTTTCCACAGTGTTTGGTTGTTCCACTGGATATGAAAGGTCAATCTGCTAGGAGCAGTCAGAGACGGTTCCCCCGGTTCTGGTAACTCCTCAAAGACAACGTCTCGAGGTTCTAACACCCCACTAATTTTTTCATCCTCAAAAGATATTGCTTACTTGGTCATAGCTAGGGGTGTAAACGAACCGAACACGAACGAACAAAGCTTGTGTTCGTGTTCGGTTCGTTTAAAATTTAGTTTGTTTGAAATAAGCTCGTCAAGCCTCTATCTAACAACCCCAGGTATGGAAATGCTAGAAATCGGCTTTCCTTCCTTCTGTTAAGGTAATAAGTCTGACAAAAAAGGGGCAAAGCAAGGTTTGTTGCAATGTGACACCGGTTGACATATAAAAAAGGACTAGTGAAAGCCAATGACGGAGCTTACCAGTAAGGAATATATAGACTCTAATTACCTACCCAATTTCGCTTCAAGAAGAAGTATATTTCCATTCAACTCTCGGGAGTTCTATGAGGGAAGACAATCACAATCTCTTCTATTTTGGTGAGCTTTTCTAGGAATTAATTACATACATAAGCCTCTGAAGAACCTACCAACCCCTTTTGGTTTCATTGAAAGTTGATAAAATTATTATTAAGCTCCTCCCTGTTTGATACGGTGCCTTGTAAGGAAATTTCATCCTAATATTTTGATGTGCACGTCATAAACTTTGTGAAGCATGCAAAAGGCACATAAAGTGTACAACGGCTAGCACAACATTGAACAATAGTTGTGTATGAAAAATCTTAAATACAGCACGGCCCGAGTTCTAAATAAGAATTAGGTTCTAAATAAGAATTACAAGTTGTTGTGTATACATACGTCTCAATGTAGGGCGTGCAATGCGGGGGTTGAGGGTCTTTCCATAAGATCTTAACTAGGTGGGTAAGTTTCCCTTGTCTAAGGATATGAATTAATTAACCCGCACCATGACCAGTGATGAAGTTTAACCCAAGCCTACGCTTAGAACGATCCTAGAAGATATCAAAGTAAGAGGATAATTCATATCGCCCAACTGGATAAATCAGTAGGCAATGCTCATTTTTCTATTACAATCATAGGTTAATCCAAGGGCAGTTGAAGCCTAGTACCTAATGGGCTGACTTATGCAAACTAGACCCAACAACAATAACAACAAAAACAAACATTTATCCCACTAAATGGGGTCAACTACATGAATCCTTTTTCTCCACCATGCCATATTGAGTGTCATATTTTCATTTAATTTTAATAACTTAAGATCATTGTTTATACATTATGCCCCAAGTCTTTTTAGGTCTACCTCTACCATTCTTAACATAAGTTGAATCTAAAACAGTTGCTCTCCTAACCAGATTATCAGATGGTTGACATTTAATGTGCCCAAATCATCTAAGACCACTCTCTCTAATTTTGTCTGCCACTGGAGCTACACCAACCCTATCACTAATATATTCATTTCGAATTGTGTCTCTAAGTGTAAAGCCACTCAACCACTTAAGCATTCTCATCTCAACAACACCTAACCTAGTTTTATGTTTCTCTTTTACCAGTCAACATTTAGCGCCACCATCATCTTACAATATTTTCCTTTCAGTTTAAATGATAATTTTCTATCACACAATAGGCCTGAAACATTCCTCCACTTCAACCAACCAACTTGAATTTTACTAATAACATCCCCGTCTATATCACCATCACCATCACTTACCATCACTTTGAACAATAGACCCAGGATGTCTAAGGCAGTCTCATCTCTTAATAATTTGATCACCCATAGTTACAACTCTGTCAGTAGAGCAACTACTATTAAATTACATTCTATGTATTCAGTATTAGTTCTACTTGAATAAAGGCATTTAGAATCTAATGTAGACCTCCATAATTCAAGTTTTTTTGAGCTTTTTCTCTAGTATTATCCACAAGAAGGATATCATCAGCAAGAAGCATACACCAAGGTACATCCTCCTGTAAATGTCCAGTAATAGGATCCATAAATAAAGCAAAAAAGATATAGGCTTAAAATCGATCCTTGATGTAATCCAATTAAAATAAGAAAATATTTGGTCAATCAACCTTCTATTCTAACACAAGTAACAAATCTAGTATACATATCTTTAAAGACTTGAATATAAGTCATTTCAACATCTTTCTTCTCTAGAACTCCCCAAAAGATATCTCTTGGAACCTTTTCATATGTTTTTTTCTAAATCAATGAAAATCATATGTAGATCCTCCTTATTCTCTCTGTACCTCTCCATCAAACCTCTCAATAAATGTAGCTTCCATTGTAGACTTGTGAGACAAAAATCCAAATTGATTATGAGAAAACTTTGTAATAAGTCTTAACGTATGTTTAATTACTCTCTCCCATAATTTTAACGTATGACACAAAAACTTAATTCCTTTATAATTTGCACACTCTTGTGCATCCCCTTTATTGTTAAAAATGGGCTCCAAAATACTCTTCCTCCACTCCTCATGCATCTTTTAGTTTTTAAAACAATATTAAAAGAGTTTAGTAAGACAAGAAACTCCCAAATCTCCTAAATATTTCCACACTTCAATTGGAATGTCATCAAGTCCTACAGACTTTCCACTCTTAATATTCTTTAAAGCCTCCTAAACTTATTTTTTACTAATGAGATAGTAAAAATTAAATATTTTATTATTATTAACGATAATAAGATCACTTAGGTCAATTGTTTTTTTCAGAAACTTTATTGAAAAGTTTATCACAATAACTCACCCACCTATTTTGAATATCTTTTTCTATGAAAAACACTTTTTGATTTTCAATCTTTAATACACTTTATTTGAGTTAAATCTTTAATTTTTTTTTTCTCTTTGTTTGGTTAGTTTATACATATATTTTTAACCCTCTTTAGTGTCTAATCTATTATAAAGAACGCTAGAAGTAGAGTTTTTAGGTCACAAAATTGTTCTCTTAGACTCAGTACTAGTCATTTTATATTTTTTCCCGTTCTCTAAGTATCCTAAACGCATAAAATGAAAAAATATATATATTATTAAGAAAAAGTAAAACATCGAGTGCATAGAAATGCAAAATATGCAAATCAAGTGCATGCGAATCTAACCCTGCAAAGCATGACACAATAAGGTCAATGTAATAAGAATGATGAAATCAAGGCATATTGGCACAACTAATGTGTCACACGAATGATGAATGCAATTAATGTAGACACATTATCAGACTTATAATGGTTCATACAAAACTTAAAATGCAACCTTCAATTGAAAGGGTGGCACCACGTGACCATGTAGGCGGTTCTGAAGTATTTTCCTTCTATCTTAGAAAGACCTCTAGGTACAAAGGCGACAAATCGCCTAAAATATAACAAATGAATGTCAAACATGTAACATAATAGATGTGAAATGACATGCAGAGAACATGTCAAAACATCGTGATGACACTCTAAAGCCCTACATGCAGACATCTACTCTTAAATAGTGGCAGGTATTCTGTGTTTTTTCTACACATCCCGCTGGGTGGTTCGCAAAAGGTGAAAATGAAAGAAAATGAGCTTTTATCAGGCTGTGTCAAAATCACTGAAACGACGTAAGCTCTACCAATCAATCAAGCAAAGCTGAACCACCACCCATGCAGAAAAGTAGACTCATGATTCGAAATGGCGAGTCCCAGAGTCAATGATCAATAAAGATGAAAGATCACCCATTCAAAATAACCAAACTCTACTAAAAAAATGGTTAAAACATCAAAGGATATCGCCACTTATACGAAAGAGTGTACCAGTGACCGAGAGACATTATTGTACTTCTCGGCTTACAAAAGCCAAGTGACGATAATCTCAAACCAGAAAAAAATAGTCTCGGTTGAGCAAAGACTATCCCGCATCCACTGCACTACCTAATGTGATATATCGGCTATGTCACTTATAAAAGAAAATAAGGTAAAAGTTTGGTTAACTTCCGACACCGTAGTGCTACATAATAATATTATTATTATTATTATTATTATTATTGGTGTCGGAAGTTAACCAAACTTTTACCTTATTTTCTTTTATAAGTGACATAGCCGATATATCACATTAGGTAGTGCAGTGGATTGGTTATTATTATTATTATTTTATTGTTCTTTATTATTATTTTATAAAAATTACTATTTTGTAATTATCATTATTTTAAATTATTAAATTATTATTATTATTATTATATTTCATTTTTTATTTAATAATTATTATTTTTCTTAATTATAAAATTATTTATATTTTTAGTTTTCTTTTTTATTCAATAATTATTATTATTGATTCAAAATTTATTAATATTCTGGTTTTCTTTTTTATTTAATTATTATTGTTATTATTTTAAGTGACAAAACAGTTTAAAATACTAAAACAATATAACAAAATATTAATAAGCCTAAATATAAATAAAATATGTTAAACTGTAAATAAAAACATGAAAACTATAAAAAATATATTAAAAAAAATCTCATTAAGAAAGGGATTAGAGCCTGCTGTGAGCCTCTCAAAAATAAATGGTGCTCTTTCCCACTTTCCCCCACATGTCCGTCAATTCAATTACCACCTCACAATTAGTATTGTTATTAAAGCTATGAACTGCCAAATTTAGAGCGATTTTGACACAAAAGCGGCATATAACCACCCGATTCTCTCCGTGTTTTCAAGTAGCTGTTCGTATAAAACCTAAGCTTGGATTTGAAGCTTCAGGCAGAGACGCAGTTGGGTGTTAGTGGGCCTTTAAAGGGTGATGAGGCATTGCATGTAATGAATTCAGAACCCTAAGAATATAACTTATGAAAGCTTTTTTAACGGGCAAAAGATTAAGGGGCCGTTTAGATAACGAGAATTAGTGATGTACTTTAATTTTTGTTTGTAGGTATTTAAGAAAATTTTATATTTGATATAAAAATTTATAAATAATTACAAAGTTATAATGAATTTGAAGTTTAGATTGTATTTTATTTTGGTTAAATTTGGAATTCGAATAATTGGATTGAATTTGAATTATATCATTTATGTAAAATGATATATGCAAGTCCCCCAGGGCTTTGAGAAGGAACTTGAAGCTTCGAGAATGAGCTGAAGTTCAGCACCATCTCTACCGTCGTCGATCGCCGCTGACATTCGTCGGCCACAACCTACCTTCATTTATCACTGCTGATCGTCGTCAACCGCCTACTGCCCTCGAACATCATTGACAGTCGTCGACACCTGTCGATTGTCGTCTATAACCATTCGTCGTCTACCACCACCGACTTCTATCTATCACCACCGATCATCATCAACCATCGTCGATCGCCTTCAACCACGTATCGTCATTGCCGATCGCCTTCAACCACTGATCGACACCGCAGATAATCATTGGCCACAGCTGACCGCTGTCGACAACCGTCCATCACTGTCAGGCACTACTGTCACCATCAACCACCACTAATCGTCGTCGACCGCCGCTGATAGTCATTAATCACCATCAATCACTGTCGATCACCACTAACAGGAAGACGTCAATCAACATTGTAACTTGGAAAACTCAGTAATCATTTTCTCTTCTGTAGAACAAAGAATTTCTCTAATCATCAATCAATAATGGATTTTTACAAAAGGGTCAAACCCCGTGGATTTTTCCTTTACGGTTTTCTACGTAAAAACCTTTGTTGTCACTACTGATTGCTTTTCCTTTCACCTCAATGTGTACTAAATTCTCGTGCAATGCTAAGACGATAATTCATTACTCTACCGCCACGAATTTTCTAGCACGTGGCGTCAAATGAAGTTTTTGAAGGTCTATGTAAGAGAAAATCTCATATTTAAGAGTCTGTTTACGCATTCTCGTTGTTGAAAATACCTATGGTAGAAAATTCATTTATTATATGTCAAATTTGTGGCATCTATATTATTATGGATTCAAAATTTTCACCTCTAAGCGAGGCAACTTAAACTTTTACAAGCTATGTGAAAAGGTTTACGATTAAATTCGTTCAATTATCCCAAATAAATACTCTGTTTTAATATAGAAATAAAGCTGAGTAGAATGATGCAAAATTTATTTGTTAATGTTTAACCCTTTTTACATGTTCTTTATAATTATTTTATAGTTCATCTTTATTTACTTTTATTTAAATGAAATATTTTAATTTCAAAATTCTCAATTAAAAATATATTTCAAATTTTGTTTATTTAAATATTCACTTCTACAATTTGAAAAACAAAAATGTATTCACACTTGCCTTTAAGGCCTCAGGCTCTGTTTGGGCGGCTGCAGCTTCTCAGCTTTTCAGCTGCAGCGGCGCTGTGTCCGAAAGCTGCCGCGGGAAGCTGATTGTCTGTTTGGTGCAGTTGTGTGAAAACAGTTGTAGAGCAATTATTTCTAGAAAAATGACTATGTTGCTCTTGTTCTGACTAAAAGAAACAATTTAAGTAACAAAAAAACAAAACAATTAACGTGGTTCAGTCAAACTGACCAACATCTACGGGGAAACGGAATCAGAAATCTTTATTAAGGCAATTAAAGATAAGATACATAGCTTCCAATGAACAATGACTCCTTGCCATAATCAACAGATGAAAGAGCTAAAAAAAAATTGTTGGCCCACTTACACACATACTTTTTCCTTTTGTAAAAGTAAGATAATGCTTTACATGTAGTTGCACGAATCAGGCGAAGTGGATCGACACAATGATCCAAACATAGCATCAACATCTCGCCCAAAATGTGGCAGCTGATAATATCTATATGCAAGAATGATTGCCTCTAATCCACCCATTCATAGATTTCTTTCTAAATGTAGAAGGAACTGATAGCATAACTGAAGCTAGCACTTCATTCAATCCAAACGTGAAGAGCTAAGCAAATGTCAAACACAAAATTTTGCATATTTCCAAGAGCTTAGCAATAGTAATGAGAACATTATTCATAAAAAGATGAGGTTCACTTTCTAAAGAAGTGTATTCTTGTACGAATAACCACACAATATTCCAAGAATTGAAGTTCAAACTATTCAGCTCAAAGGAGAAAACTGGTTCCTGAACCATTCTGCTTTCACAATATTCCAAGAACCTGGTTCCAAAACCAACTATCTCAAAGAACAATAAAATTGTTTCATGCAATACAATCTGAACTAGTAGAGGAACTCACTAGACTCACAACCAGCTTATATGAAACTAACAATCACTACAAGGAATGACAAACCACCTACTGCCATTCCATCATATACACAAAGCACCTCAGTAAACATAGCAGAGCATCATAAAGAGGAAATAAAAAAACCATTCCTGAGCTTCCAAAATCATCTCGGCAAACCATAATCCATCCTAGCTTACAGATACATTCACGAAATGAATTTGAAGACCACACAAATGGCCGGCTACAACAACAGAAGAAGCCACTCGGGAAGATTTCGATTACCATGAGAATCATGCGTAGAGAGAATAAAATCATTCTTGATGTCTTCACAACATCAAAGAGAAACGCAGCTAAATCCCAAAGAAACCACAACTAAAAAAAAAATTTACTCAGCAGCTAAGAAAATGTGAGGAGATCTAACAAGCATGCGAGAAAAGGGGCACGAGGGAATGGATTTTGCTGATCCAACTGGCAGCATAACCCCAAAGAAACCACATTCCAGATCATATTTACCCAGCAGCAGATCTAACTCTCATTCGAGAAAAAATATTTCTTACCTTTGTTGTGAGGAGATCAGAAGAACAAGAAGAGAAGGAGAAGAAAGAGAAGAGAAAGACGAACAGAAACCGTCACCAACCGGAGAAGAGGAGGGGAAGGGAAGAAGATCGTGACATCTATTTCGCGGGATAGAGCAAAGGGGCACGGGGGTAAAAGTTGCGCCCACAAAACTGGGTCACGGCAATTAACCCACTTTCCGCTTTCGATCTTAACCGCAGGAAATGGCGGCAGAAGCGCCAAACCAAACGCCAAAAAAAAAATAAATACTTCACCGCATCACGTTGCATTCCCACCGCCCGCCCAAACATAATCATAATTGGAAAACTTAGCTTTCAGCTGCACATTTTTGAGAACGCAACCGACGCATAGCCGCTCAGATCAAAATCCGATCGGACACCATCACAAGCTCCCCATCATATATATGTTTTGACCAAAATACTATATGTTATCTACTTTTTAAGGATACATAATGTACTCTTACAACTCTCATTCATATAAATAGAGACTCATTTATAAATAAATATTACAAGATTTTACTGCTTATTATTATTCTCTCTCTACTCTTTTCTCCGCCTTTCACACTATTCCTTAGCCGTCTCCCAAATAAATTTAGATTCAACACTAACGCTTAAAATTTGAAGCTTAAAGTTTAGTCTTTACACCTATAATATTTGTGTCATAAGTTCATGCATGAAACAGAGTAATTCACTTGAAAATTTAATAATAATGATATTTTTGATTTGATGTTAAAGTATTGAGGGTTACAATTATAAAAAAGTTAGTGTTAGATGTGCAAATACATAAAATCTGTGTAGCATGTATGTAAATGACAATATTAATATTCCTATTGCCAGATTCTTGCGTCGGACAAACCCCAGAAAACGTGCTATGCCCTTCGGGCCAATAGTCCAGCAAGCCGGCGGTAAAAATTAATGCAAAAACTACAGTTCCAAAAAATGTTGATTTTTCATGATTACCCTTGTCTTTGAACTAAGTAAGATTTTTCAACTTCTAAATACTGACAAAAATGATAATTTTGATGTAAAAGAAATATAACATGCAAATAGGATAGGTACGGATTTGGTGATATTGTGGTGATATTATACAAATAGGATAGAAACAGATTTGGTGATATTCATCACAATACCACCACAATATCACTAATCCACATATATATATATATATATATATATATGTTATTTGCACCTAATAATTCCTCGTGTTCCACAGGCTATCAGTAAGACAATTTGAAAATTTCCAAGGAAAGCCGCTTATTTGCCCCCTATGCAGTCAAACCAAACACCCAAAAGGTAGCAGGCTACACTGATGAGGGAACCCAACCAAAATACTCAATAAATCATCTGCTCAATACAATAAATCAAACACCAATATATTTTGCTTCAAAATAGAATGGCTCCAGTTAGCTGAATATGAGAATTGAAACCCAAAATGTAGAAATTGTAACTTCAATCTCTTCCAATTTTTAAAAGCAGCCCAAACAAAACCAATAGCAGAAAGTTCCCACCTGAAACCCTAAAAGTAGTAAAACGGACTCTGGTTGTAGATTCCAAAAGTGGCCAGTGAAGAATCAGAGAAATTACTGACTCGTTATCCATACATTAAAGGCGGCTGATAACAGCTTCTACCTCAGATGGGGAGTAGAGGTGATAAGTTGGAGCAACCTTTGCAATATCAACATTGTTCGGTGTCACCTAAACATAAATTATTAATCAAAATTATTAGAATGATTTTAGCAGAAAGGACAAGGAATATAGGAGCCAATTTGTACCTTTTCCTCCATGACTTGCTTCAGGATGGAGAGAGCAATTGTTTCAGCTTCCTGAAGAGTTAAATCCTGCGCAGAAAATGTGTTCAAGAAAGGAAATTAGAGAACATCTACTGTTAGTATGTGAAATATGTATGCTTTCAAAATGTTCAAAACAAATACAAGGATTGGAAACAGCAGTATAGCTTGCCTTGTTATACTGCTCTTGCAAAGAGCTGTCGGCTCCTTCAGAGCCAGAGCCTATAGCTTTAGCGCTGCATTGCCAAAATGTACCTGAAGGGTCTGTATAAAATCTGCAAATATGTAGCGATAATAAAAGCTTAAGTGAAACCAAAAATACAGATGAAATTGTAGCAATAAGCCATTTGAGACTGTGAGTAGATGAGATAAACAAGAAATTTTAGTTAATTTTGAGAGAAATACCCTTTCAGTTTTGTCTTGACTGATAAGAATTTTGATGGGTTGTCACTGCTCTTATATTTACCTCTGTCCATTTGATGCTAATTGTTTTGCCCTCCACCACTCATCTATAACAGCTTCTGACTCTATTCCTATACTCTAGAATCTCTATACAACAATATATATGGATACATTCTGTTTACTTAATTGATTTGAGCTTAATAGCATACAATAGTTTCAGCTCTCTGTTTTCTGCTTCAGGTTACTGCACATCTTTCTGTCGCTGTATCTGTATTTAGTTCTTTATGTATCAGAGCTACTAAGCTCAACCGCTGTAGTTTCATCTTTTGTCTTCTTTCTTTTTCTTATTATGAATCAATCAAGTGGATCTTCTTCTCATAAATTTGATATGACAAAAATGTTCTTTCTTTTCTTTAGAACATAATCCTATTCCTTCTTCAATAAAGTTCCTCATGGTTAATATTATAAAGGTAATCTCCACGCCACTTGACAGCAGAAAATTATCTCACCCGACAATTTCAGATTTTGAACTTAATTAGAGCAAATAGTTTTGAAGGTTTATTTGGATGTATTCAGTATTTGTCCACTAAGATGCTATCCAAACCTACTGGATTTTCTACACCAAATCAAAGCTTCCATATTTCTTTTCTCTAGAGACTTCCACTGAAATATGGACTATAGTATAGCGTCTATTGATGCATCCTATAGTTTTCATGTTATCCAGCTAAAAAAATGAGCTTAATCACCTTTCTAAAAAGATCAAACCATAACTCAATATCTTTCAGCTGTTAAAGCCAAAGGTGATGCTACTGCTGCAACCGGTTCACCTTTGAAGCTTGAGGATATTCTCTTATATACACAAAATGGTTTACGCTAAAATTATTAAACATGTAAGACTGCAATCATGACAAATCTTCTGCAACTAACACATGATGCAACAAAAGGATTTACAAGCTTTACGGCTTACAGATTCTTCTACTGCTCTTGCAGCTCCTACTTGGGGGCGTGGTCCTAGACGAGCTTTTGGGTGCGTTTGGGACATCTTATCAGCTGCGGCGGCGTTCGGAAAACGCCGCCTCGCCGTTTTGGAAAAAACGGTCCGACCCGGGGCCC